GTTTCTCTTGCATTAGAACAACTTTAATACCTATTCCTGAAGCATCACTTTCAATCTCAAAAGCTTTATTAAAATCAGGTAAATATATAGTAATGGTGTAGAAATAAACTTTGATTTTAATAAGCTAAATGCATTTTGTTGTTCTTCACCCTACTTGAACCCTATATAATTCTTAATGATTTCAGTTCTTGGAGAGGCTATCGCACTGAAGTCTTTAACAAATCTTCTATAGAAACTAGCCAAACTATGAAAACTTCTACCTTGTGTTATTGATTTTGGTATAGGCCATTCTTGAATAGCCTTAACCTTAGCCTCATCCATCTCTATCCCTTTTGTACTAAAAACATATGTAAGAAAAATAATTCTATCCATGCAAAAGTCACACCTTTTCAAATTAGCATATAAGGACTCTTTTTTAAGCACATTAAGAACTTGTCTCGAATGACCTATATGCTCATCAAACTCCTTACTATAAATCAAAATATCATCAAAGTAGATAACTACAAACTTATCAATGAAAGTATGCAAAACATGATTCATCAATCTCATAAAACTACTAGGTGTATTAGTAAGTTCAAAAGGCATAACCAACCACTCATATTAACCATATTTATTTTTAAAAGTAGTTTTTTGTTCATCCTTATCTTTCATCCTAATTTGATGATAATCATTTTTTAAATCAATTTTCAAAAACATTTTAGAACCATGCAATTCATCCAACATATCATCTAATTTAGGAATAGGATGTCAATACTTTACATTGATGTTATTAATAGCCTTACAATTAACACACATTTGCCAAGTATTGTCTTTCTTTGGGACAAGAAGCATAAGAATTGCACAAGGACTCATCTTTTTCTCACGATTGTATCCTTTCGACATCAAGTCCTCCACTTGCCATTGAAGTTCCTTATACTCTTCGGGATTGCTCTTATATGCCGGCCTATTTGGTATAGATGCTCATGGAATAAAGTCAATTTAATGTTCAATTCCTCTAATTGGCGGCAATGCATTAGGAATATCTTCTAGAAAGACATCTTTAAATTCTTGTAAAAGAACTTTAACAACACTAGGAACACAGGAATCCAAATTATCAGAGTTAAAGTATACCTCTTTGTACACAAGTTTAAATATTTTAGTTTAATAATGGGTTAGTTTTATTAATAACCTTAAATAGATTTAATTTATGGGGGTACTCTCATTGCAAAGTAATCTTGAATAAATTATGATTTTAATATCAAGTAACCTCTAATTTGGATGATATATGACTAAGATATTTGACATGGCGTTACAAAATCCAATCATAATCGCACATGTAATTCATGATAGTTTTTTATAAATAAAATTTGATTAAAAAATTATCATTTTCAAAATCTTATTCATAAATAATTCATGTGCATTATCCACAAACATTCATGAGTTAATATATAAATAAAATTTAAAGACTTCATTTATTATAAAATAAGACTACATGAGTTTTTTTTTATAATAACTTTGATGAAAAAAAGACTCTTTTAATTTATCATACAAAGAGCCTTTAACATTGTCTTTATAGAACATCATAGTCTTTAATTTTTTTTTTAGCTTCTCTTCTTAACACCCTAGCACTCAACCATATTGAGACAAATCAAACAAGAGTTCATTGCATCTTCTTATGTAAATAATTGCATCTTGTTTTCTCCATTCATATTTTTTGTTAATGATACATCTTTTCATGTCTTAATACCTCTATTTGTTATCTTACTACATCAATCTAAATATTAAACTCATTAAGCTTTTTATATAAATAATAATACATCTTTTATAAATGATTTTAATCTCTTCCATCCATTGATTGTGGTCATGTATCTTGATTAGTACTTAAAAGTGCATTTTTATCATGGTTTTATATCATCATTTTGCACTTGAAGTATCAATAACTCCTTAACTAAAGCATGTTTTATAATAATATATATAATAATATAAGATGCCTTTAATTTATGGTAAATGTTCATTTCAAATGCAGGCCTATCATATAAATGAAAGGATTGATTGATGAATTTAAGAACTGAAATTGAAAGGAACTTGATTTGTTGTTAACATAAGTTATAATCATGAATGCCTGACGAGATTTACAAGTATTAGCGTTAATCAAATAAGATGACCAATGTAATCATGTTAACAATTTATAATCTAATTGGAACCTCCTTTGTGTG